GAAGCTGGAAATGAATCAATAAAAAAAATAGGTTGCATAAAAATTCTTAATTTTTTATTGAATTTATAACTTATTTAATGAAAGAAAACAATATAAATCAAACTTGGTTATTGTATTCGTTTATTTATCTAAAATTAAGAAACTAGGTATGAATCAAAACATTTAATTATTATCTTGTGTGATTTAAGAAAATGTAGTATTATCTTAATTTATTTTCTACCTAAAATTATCAAATCTAAGTCTTTAATGCCGAATGATTGTGATAAAATCAAATAAATGAATTAGCATATGCGAAAATGTAATCATTTATTTTATATACTAAGAAAATAAAGCAGTCTGCATAAAAAATACACTTTTAGGAGTTATTATGAAGTAATATTGTTATTTAAAGAGTGAAAATAGTATCTTGTAAATTAAATGAAAAATAAACACACTTTGCATTGCGAAAAATGGTATGAACAAAACTAACATAGCATACAAAATAATAAAATTTATCGCTTTTTTGGTTCTGTGAGAATACCAAAAAATATCTGTTAAATTTTACTGAAGTTCTAGTAAGGAATTTGGTATAAAAACAATAAAATTTGGTTTTATAATATATGATCAAATTAGAAAAATGATCAGGTTTGAAAGCAACAAAACGAAAGTTCTGTTAAAAAATCTCAAGCAACTGGAAGCAAAAAAGATGTTTCCCAGTATAACTATCAACTCAATTTAATTATCTACTCAATTATCAGATTTATGAAAACCTGAAATAATTCTTCTTAACCCAAACAACGAATTACAAAGCAATGAATAATTCATCAGAGCAGAAAATAATACTATTTTTTAAAAATTTTAAATCGTTCGAAATTAGCTTTATTCCAGTTTTAAAAGGCGGACAAATTTATAAGAGTTAACTATTTAGTTCTGATTGAATGTTAATACCAAAATGCGTGAATATATAAAATACATATAAAGTTAGCTTTAGATCTATTTATAATTCTAATTCAGATCAATTTTGTATGAGTAACATTTTAGAAGTTCGACAAATATTGTCATTTATTTTAACGTTTCATTAATTTGAGCTTAGGCAAACTTCGAATGTTCATTGTCGTGCGGTTTAAAAAAGAATGAAGAACAGGCAAAAAATAATTATGCATTAGTTTTTTGTTTCGTGGGGAAAGAAAACACTTTAATGAGACATATCATTAAGTATCAATGTCTGGAAGAGTTCCACCTAATGCTGACAATGAATCACAAAATTCTTTTTTGTTTGAATTTTTTTCTGCAGTCATTAGGAAACTCAAGAGAATTTCTTGAATTCTTTTATCAAGATTGAACTAAAAAGTTTCTTTTTAGGAAGGAAAAAAATATTTTAACATGAAAAGATAGATAAAAACTAAATAAACTACAAGTGAATCTACAAAAAATTTTATTTAAAAAATATTTCATGAGGGAGCAAAAAGATAGAAAAAAATACATCATTCTCAGGGGTATACTCTATATTGAATTTGTCCAGAAAACGGGAAACAAGGAAAAAAAGGAAAAAGGGTATATTAAGATATAAAAAAAGCTTAACTTTAATACAAACTTCTTATCGAAAGTGATAAAAAAGTCAAAAAAAGATTAAGAAAGAAACAGATCTTTGATTTTCTCTCCAAGCTGGAATCTGAAAATGATGAAAAAAAGATCTTATCCTTACAAAAGAACAGTCATTTTAAGCGTGGCTAATGGAATTGACCTGAAGTCTTTAGTTTTTAGCACGTTCAACTTTCTAAAAGAAAAGTTAGCTTAAGATCTTAAGAAATAATAGACAATATTTTGCAGCTTCGTGGTTTTTAGATAATGATATTTCGCGGAAAGAAATTTTTTTTATTCTTTTTATCTGGCAAGAGCGTAGTAATTTTTTTATATCTTTAGATAATTCATTTTCTAGGCAAAACGATTTTTTTTAAAAAACTTAACAATGTGGAATATTTCTTGTTTTTTCTTTTGCAATTTACAACAAAAAAATCATAGTATTTTTCTTATTTAAATAAAGATCAGTCTCTTTTCCCCTACATATACCATGCTATTATTATCTAGAATAAAAAGATGAAGCTAAGACGTTTATTTGAAAGTAATTAAAAACTTATTTGAATCGTATTTTGCCTACCATAGGCAGATTCAGTATCAAAAGGAAATACTCCTTTATATTTGAAAAAGATTAACTGATTAAAATAAGAATCATATCTTTAAATTGATAAAAATGATTTTTTTTAATAAATTGCATCTGAAAATGATAAAAATAAGATCTTACCCCTACAAAAGAACAGTCATATTAAGCGTGGCTAATGGAATTGACCTGAAGTCTTTATTTTTTAGCCCGTTCAACTTCGCACAAGAAAAGTTTAAGATCTTAAGAAATAATAGACAATATTTTGCAGCTTCATGGTTTTCTGATTATGTTATCTCGCGAAATTTTTTCTTATTCCTTAGCGTGTAGTACTTCTTTTTTTCCCATCTTTAGATAATTCATTTTCTAGAAAAAAAGTTTTTCTAGAGTAATGTAAATGTTATAAAACTAGAATGATATAAAATGCTTAATCAAAGCGATTATTTGGAGATAATTTAAAACTTATTTGAATCGCATTTTTTTTTCTGCAGAGGACAGATTCAGTTTAAAGAGGGTATTTACCTTTATGCTTTGTTATTAACTGCGGCGTAATATCTCGCTGAATTTGGGGTTAGGCAAGTCCAAAAATTGTTCGAAAAAACATTATATTTCATTTTAACACCAACTTAAGTGTTCATGTTTAGATTTAAATACTTATAATCGGTGTAGTAAAATACAAACACTACTTATGGAGGATGCTTACACCAAGATTATTCATGAATTTATTTCAACTCCGAAAATAAAACATTTTTGACTTATATTTCTTATGCAAACACATATTATTTTATTATCGTGCGCGAGATGTTGTGAGTTTGCTGTTTTTTTTACATTATATCCCAAGAATCTTCTCGTGTGTTCAGCTTTTTGGAGTAAAGTAGCTGTCAAGATTTTTAGTCTTAAGATACACTGAACTTTTTTAGCGTATTAGCGCATAACTTCTATTATTTGCTAAGAAGATTTAGACTTATGATACTATATTTTGAATAATGGAATTTAACATAACAATAATAGAACTAAACATAGAAATAATCTAACTAAACACAGCTATTATAGAATTAAATATAACAATAACAGAACTAAAAATTAAACATTGTTCGAAAACGAAGATGATCCTAGAATCCAACTCCGTGAAAACAATAAACTTTTATTTCCATAATAATAACTTTACTCAATTTCTACGAATAAAGCATATTGGCCTAGGCCTCTGGATTCTTTTATACCTTTATTCCTTCAAAAACGCATAAATTAGGTTGATCAAAGTTCGATAATGATTTATAAAAGTCAAGGATTGTTCTATTATTAAAAGCATTACAATACATTTTAAATAGTTACACATTTTTTTAATGTATAGCATACTTTGAACACTATAAGCCATATGCAGTGTCTCAATAGAATTTATCGCAATGCAATAGCATCATAACATAACACTAATTTATCTTTATTTATCCTGCTGTAGTGAGAGCAAATTAGACTAAATTTTCGACCATTTCGAATTTGTAATAACTAAATGGTTGATCTCAAACAATAATTACCATTTGAGAAGTAAGTATCATACAATAATTACCATTGATGTTCCATTAGTATCATTGAGTATCATACAATAATTAAATGCTATATTTTAGAATGGAACTGAATATTGAAAAGTAATATTTTTGAAATTGTTTAATTTGTAAATTATAATTTTAATATTTCATTATTGCAAACTCTTTTGATATATTTATACTATTTTTTTGAATAAAAAGAGAAATGAACTGTTAAGAGAATTTTAAAGGGAGTTTTCTCTGCACTTTTGCTGGTATGTAGGTAATGGATTTTACAGTAAGAAGTACCAGTACTCAGGGTGTCGGTACTTTAAACCGTAACTTCCATTTTTATCGGAACACATTTAGGAAAAAAATCTGATAGATTTTCATAATTTATTTGATTAGAGTAGTTCAATGATTTAAAGGATATTATTACTGCAAAAGTTATGGTGAATTATTTTACGGTAAAATAAATTTTACCATTAAATAGATTTCACGCATGCTACACTCAAAGTGCGGGTACTTTAAAATACAATCTGAGCCCCAAAGGAATTTCTTTGTCTTCTGGGTTGATTTCAAACTTAGAAGTCACAAAATTAAAGAAAAAATGATTATTCATCAGCGGTTAAAAGATAAATAAAAAAGACGGACTAACTGAACTGTTTATCATAAAATGTAGTCTCATATGTCGATAATATTTATTAAGTTTTGTAAAATTAAGATAAAAAGGACCACTTTTAGCCTGAAGACTAAATAATTTCAAATAAGTTGGAAGCGTAATCATAAAATACAGAACAGGAGTTGAAGCAGGTATAAATAATTAAATACTTTGTTAACTTGTGTGTGCTTGTATGTGTGAGAAAATTAAAATAAAGAGCACAACTTTTAGTCTTAAGCCAAATTAGCTTCAAATAAGTGGAAAAGGTAATCATAGTAGAATATCAGAATTGGTGTTAAAGAGGCATAAATAATTAAAAATAATGTGTAACTTTTATTTATTTTTTTATTTGCCATTGAAAACTCATTATTTAAGAAAATGTCAAAATAATTGAAAAAGTCACATAGGATAAAATAATTTATTGTTTTGCTTTTTAATTTATGTAAATGCTTTTATTCTCATATATCCCTAAATAAATAAACTATTTACAAAAAGTAACATGTAAAAGGAAATAATATTCAAAGGCATATTACCATTACCTATATATATGAAAAATCGTTACTGCATTGTTCGTGGTAATCTCGGGAACAAAACTTTTCCAGGATAAATAAATCCCTAAACCTACCCTTCTCGAACGGAGAAAATCCCTACTTTCATCTTGCTACTCCCTCAGACACTCAGAGGCAGGGTAAGAGAGAGGATGCTCGATTACGGGAAAGGAGATAGGAGAATCAAGCCCATTAGGCTTGGTAAAATGAACGACATATTTTTGCTAGTTGTTCCTTAGCCCAAACTTTTTAAGCTGAAATGAGGATTTAAAAATCACTACGGAATGTATTTTGACGTGGAGGTCGTACTTATGATAGTTTATTTGTGGTACAGTAGCGACCACGTGGTGTGCTTACCTTCAACATTGAAGATTGGTAAGCGAGATCTTAAATTTTATTTCTTGCTCTAAAGATGTGCATGATATATGAGAGACATTTAAAGTAGAATTGTTATAGAATTTAAAATAAAAGATTTTTTAAGAAAAGAATTTATTTTTTATTATATTATACCTAAAATTTGATTTTAGAAAATTATAGTTATATTGTTAAATTGTAAATTAAAAACACCACAAAACATTTCATGCCTGTTTTCGAAGTGTGTCTTGGTTAAAATGATTTAAAAATCATTTTATGGTAGTATACATAACTTAGACGACATAATGTTTTTAAAATACTGTATAGCTCACTTTTATTTTCATAATTAATGTTGTATAATCTAAAATAAATAAACGAATTAATCACGGAATAAAAGTTTGGAAAATTTTCTGCATATTTAACTATATTATTTAAGGGGTATATGTTGCATGAATTTTATATACAATTCTCTTCTCATCTCAAAACTTTCACTTCAATGAAAAAATATATGAGTACAATAAAAAATTTTCCTTAGAAATTATTTTTTTCCGCTTATAAACTTATTTTATTACTTTTATATTTGTGGATATATATTTGTATAATGAACTATGGTGTTCATTAGGGAAGCATTTGATCTTATTTGAACACATTTATTGTTTAAAAATATTTTGTATTTATGTAAATTGTTAGATATATTTTCAATGTGTGTTCCGTATTTATAATGTTGAATTTTAAAAACGTATTTAACTTACATTTTAAAGTTAACGAAAAATATGTATATAATCATTCTATAAATGTGTATGTAAAAGTTTACTATCCACTGTTCTTAATTGAAAAAGAATATAAGAATTCACTAAAAAGCAGAAAAAGAAAATACCTATTTATGTATGATGACGATGACATTAAAATGTATGTAATATTATTGTGCTTATTATATTAAAAATATTATATTTGCAATCCTATTATTATTAAATACTAAACGATTTCTTAAAAATGATTTATTTTATAATTCATTGAATTCAAGAAAGTTAAAGTGTGCTATATTATTAAAATCAGGATCGGTCCTACTTTTTTTAAGGAAAATAAAAAGGTTCAATTCGAAAAACAATAAAAATCAAATATGATTCGTAAATAATGACTAATTTAACTCTTTCCTTCATACTGTACAATTTCACAAAAAACGAAAAAATGTTTCTTACGATTTCCAATTATTTTTTTCAAAATACTCATGTATAAAGGTATACGTTTTACACTTTTGATACGAAACCTAACAATATGAAGTGGTTATCTTGTTCTTTTTTAATTAGATTTATGTGTTTCAAATATAATTCAATTTTTTAAGTAAAAATGAATAGAAAAACTGTTTTGAGAACATCATACGTTCAAGATTTAAGGAAAAAGGCGATTTAAAAATGTTTCAAAGGAGTTTTTGGAGTGAACATTTATTTTTTTTGATTCTTCATTTGGAAATCCAATACCATAACGTACATTTCTTCTCTCATTTTATTTTTCATTTATAATTTTAATTTTTTGGAAACGACAAAATGTTTGCTCCGAAACCCATTTGAAAAGATTTTTTTTTACTTGAAAAAAAACTTTTTTAAAAGTCTGAAGATGAGAAGAACATTAATAAAAAAAGACGTAAAAATTTCTATTGAGTAGTTTCTTTACTTATGAAAAACACTTCTCTTTACGGAATGAACACACTTATTTTTTAACAAATGTTTTTATTTCTTATCTTGATGACTTAAAATGCGAGTTAAGATATACAGTTGGATTAATGGATTTATTTAACATCTTATCCCTTATTTTTATCCCTTATTTTTTAAACATCATATTACTTCTTATCTTGATAACTTAAAATGTGAGTTAAGATATTTTAAAGTCAAAGTAAAGGAAATAATAGTTCAGTTGGATGTGTATTGCAAAATATTTATTTACTCACTATTTCCATTCATACTAGTCACGTGACGCTAGAATATGAAGTAGACTAAATTGTGGTTGATATTTCATTTGTTGCATTGCATCTATGGAGTTGCAATTTTAATGCAATTACTGAGATGTGCTGATTCAGAATTAAACGAATTGTGAAAAAAATTTATTGCATCTTCGTCTAATAATTCAACTGAAAGTAGATTTTTTAGATCAGATGTTGACTAATATATGACTGGTGAAATGATATAAATATCAGACTGGTGAACGAAGAATAAACTTGGGAAATGTGATGTGGGTAAGTCTCAGATGGCATGGTAAGATGAAGCAGACATTGAAGTTGGTATAAATTCAGACTTAATTCAGAACTAAACAGACTAAAAACTTTGTAATTCCTCTATCTACAAAAACTAAATTAATATTAAAACAACAACTCTTGAAAATTAATAAGACGTTAAGATTAGAAACAGCTCAAGGGAGATGACTATCAGACCTTAGAAACTTGAAATGGAAAAATTATATAACTATGGAAATACTAAGGTTCGTATAACAGGCTAAAAACATGTTGTCAAATTTCAGAATTGATGTAATAAATAGGCTCGGATAAATTGGAATTAAACAGGCTATTAAAATTATACGAAGTGTCTCTTGACCAAAAACTGATTCTTTAATTGATAAGGATGTGAATTAGGATTAATAAGGACTTCAATTGATAAAGTTTGATGACTCATAAAACGACATATTTACAAGATTATAAAAAATAGGATCATGAAACTATCCAAATCTAACTAATAATCATGAAACTATCTGATACTAATATCTGAAACTAATAATCATGAAACTATCTGATTACAGTTTACAGTAAGGGTCCTTAGGAAAGTTTCACGAAACAAACTGGAAAAATACAGGTTTTAATTGTTTAAAATACTATATGTTTGTTGGAACGTTGTTAGCATGCATGGAAAAGATCTGAAAATTTGCAAAACCTCTCTTTTCGCTCGAAAATTAAAATTGAAAGTAAATCAATTTAGATCAACTATACAAATAGAAGAGACACGAGGGAGGAAATATAGCTAAATTACCACACCAGACTTCTTTGAGAATTAAAAAAAAACATTCAGACTATATGGTCTGTAGCCCTCACTGCACTCATCTCATGCAAAGAGCTGAGAGCATTGAACTCCATTCAATGATAATTAAATTATCATCAATGATAAGAAAAAAAGTTTGAAATGCACTAGATTAATCGTGTTTCAAACCAAAAAACAAAATTTGCTTAACTATTGAAAGAGGAGCACAGTTTAGGGCTGTTTTTGGTTAAGGAAATCGAAGATAGTTGCAAGTAGACTAGCATTCAATTCAAATTTTTCTGAAATCTATATATTTTGGTTTTACTACACGTTTCGAAATTTTATCGGCCTTTCTAAAAAAGCAGTAATATTTTTTTAATAAGGACTAGTTCACTATATGTTGATATTGTTGATATACTCATCATCAATTCCTAGCAGGTCTCTTCCGAAAATTTCCAAAAATGTCAACACCCTTATATCCCCAACAACTGTTTTTTTTAAATTTTGCTTGGGATCATCCGTCACCTTATTTACCTGCAGTCGCTTTTTTGGTTGTTTGGTGGATATAATAACAACTGCCATTTCTCCTTATTTCATTAAGGTATATGTCTTAGGCAAGTTCTCATTGGTCATTAAGGTAGTTACGTGTTTCGAAGCTGCCCAATTAATAATTTCTTAGCTTTTTATTTCCTTGTTCCTCTTATTTTTGATTCATGACAGACAAATTACATCACCATTGTTACCTAAAGTATATAATAAAGTATACCACAAGTCTTTAAGTTGAGTTTCGCACCGCATAACTGCAACTCTATTGAACTGCCATTTAATTGCTCATGTCCAGGATTTAAAAAGCACCACTTTTGTTACTGGAAAATTCCCAAATCTGGTGATTGTAATTGATTTTAAGTTTATAAATGATTTATATAACATTAGATATACCAGGTTTGTAAATTGTGTGAAAAAAAACATTTGAGTAAACATTTTAGATACAATATATTTTCTTTTTAAAACATTTTCTTGTCTCGTTTGATCAGATACAAATATCATTCATTTTCTTAATTGGAATTCTTTTTTGATAAGTTACCTAAAATATTAAAAAAACATTATGACATTCTGTATCAATAATTTGTATAAATAATGTTTAGAGGTTGTAATTTTCACTAAAGCTTACTAGATTGTTAAAATCTTATTGTGGAAAAATAAAATGAATATTTTACGACCTATAATAATAAATTTTTATGACATAAATAATTAGATCTTAAAGCAATAATGTTCTTTGCTTAGTCGAGTACTTTAGCCAATTATTTAAAAAGAATGCATTCTTGGGAATACTTATTGGCAATATAAGTACAAAATATGTGGGCACTAGTGATTTAAAATATTTTCCTTCTAGTGTCAAAATTTAACTGTAAACATTCAGTACGTATGAACAATTTGTAAAATATTTTGCTTTTTTTCATGGAATTGAATAGATGATGCAAATTTTTAATCAATTTTCAGATTGGAAAGTTCGTAAAAAATTTAAATGAGAAAATATTTCACCATTTAGTACAAAAAGTGAGGTTTCGATTTTAGGTTATCCATAAAATTACTGGCATTTTCTCCCTTAAATAAGTACGTGAGAAAATAAAATTTACTCCTTACATCACGTACAGAAGTTATATATTTTCTAAATCGAGAAAAAAGAGAAGTTACTTTAACCTTCTACAAAAAACAAGAAATAATGCTTTTATAAAGGATCTAAATAAATAGGGAAGCTATTCTAATCTTAAACTCACGTATCGTAACAATGTGATCAATTATGTGAACCTTAAAGTATTTCGAAGGCGTGAAAATAACATTTCATTAATGGAAAATATCAAATTATATATATCAGTGGTGATTCCGCTTGTGTAGAATAACAAAACATTAAATTCGATAGCATAAATTTTCCTTTGTTGCGGACATACTTTAAATAAAATGTTTATACAGCATTTTCGAGATGAAGAAAAATATCATTCGCATCTTAACTCAATATAA